CCGGCGGCTCTGGCTCTGGTCGCTGTGCTGAGCGGTCCGTTGGGGCCAGAGCCGAAGTCGAGCTGGCCGGGGCGGAGGACGAGCACGGTATCTTCCCTGCCCGCCAGCCAGCACGTGAAGGCAGATATGAAGCTCACCTCAAGTGGTAAGACGTCAAGCTTGAAGGAGTAGAGAAACACAGACTCTGCCCCCTCACCCCATCCCACCCTCCGGAGATAAAAGGCCCACTCACGGCGATATCTGAGGCGTGAAGGAGGCCGGGAGTCCGAGAGCAAAGAAAACTCAGGAAAATGACATCATCCAGCACTTGCTGATGATTAAGTATCTTCGGCATGGAAAGTCAAGATGCACGTTATTTTTCTGGTGCAAATTTTACCAGATTTAGGCCAGAGGCGACGCAGCAATGGGGGGACAGTTGCCCCCCCCCCTTGTGCCGGTCGGCAGCCTTTTAAATCTTACCGAATTTCAGATCAAGGGGCCTCTATAACTGAGGTAGAGGGTACTACAATGGGCTCAAAATACCCTTATCTGCATCAAAAAGCTCGTTTTCTAATTTCAGAAGGCCCTGTTGTGTGTTTAGGAGACTGACTACTTTGTCCAACAGAAGCTTTGTTCAAGAACGGGGCTCGGGAGGTCCCTTTGCTGGCTCGGAAAGTCCCGTTATGAACCAGGTGCTCACTGTTCTGCATTAGGAAGCACTAGCTATATATCAGGAGGCCCCTTTTCTGAACCCGGGGCCTTTCTCATGCGTCATAACGCCGCTGGTCCTAGTCAGGATGCATTGTTTGGGAAAAATGTGACTTTTTATCGGACTTGGAGGCCCTTTTTTAAACGATAGCAAGCCGCTTTTGGTTAAGAGGCCTCTATGCTTGAGGAGGCTCTTTATGGAACAAACAGCTGCCTTTTCTGTGTCTTGAATACCCTGTAGGGATTACTTACATACATTTTGTGTTCGGACTTTTTAATTGAATATATTTATCGTATGGATAATCATTCATACAATGGCAATACCCCCACGACACTGCCCAGGAGGTCGCTTTGAGGAGGCCCGTGGAAAGGTCGCCGCTCCTTCCTCAAAATCTGTGGCGCCGCCCGTGATTCAGGCAGCAACCCGCCCGTTCGAAACAAACCATACGGCCGAAGTGACTCTAAACGAGTCCGAAATCGAGTACGGGTCGCCTGTCCTATGGATGTTGTGCGGCGGAAGATCTGCCGACTCAGCGTGATCTCTCCCTTCGCCTCAGCCGGACCACTCGGCGTGATCTGCGTGACCTGTGTAACCCGTGTCGTGTGGAATAAAGGCATCAGATACTATCGAAGCGGGCTTACTCTCGGCACCGCGTCGGTCAGTGGTCGGCAGCGGCGCAGGCAATCCCTTCGCTTCAGCCGGACCATTCGGCGTGATCTGCCCCTTGGCTTCAGCCGGACCATTCGGCGTGATCTGTCCCTTGGCTTCAGCCGGACCATTCGCGTGATCTGTCCCTTGGCTTCAGCCGGACCATTCGGCGTGATCTGTCCCTTGGCTTCAGCCGGACCATTCGGCGTGATCTGTCCCTTGGCTTCAGCCGGACCATTCGGCGTGATCTGTCCCTTGGCTTCAGCCGGACCGTTCGCGTGATCTGTCCCTTCGCCTCGGCCGGACCGTTAACCGACACCGGCTATCAGGCAGCCGACGCTGAAGATGGGTGATCAGACTCGCTCGTGACGGGCGCCACGTGTTAGGGGACAGGCTGAGGGTCTGTTCGGCTCGGTGGACGCGCGGTCCGGCCGAAATGTTTGCGATTAACAGAGTCGGGCGCCTGGAAGCGTGTTATGAATGTGTTGACGTGGCCCGGCGCCCTCGAAACGAGCATTGAGTGATGATGTCCGCCGGCTGGACCAATAAACGCTGTCACATGGCTATGACACCGGAGCGTTTTGCGAACACCATGGGACTCCCAAGTCACCTATGTGCAAGGACCAGTCTGCGACTGCGCCACTGTCCAGGCGAGAAACCTTGACATTTGTTTTTTCTGCAAGGCACGCCTGATGTCTGGGTTTTGGAGACTCTCGTGACAAGCTCCTTAACATATCAGACGAGTATCAGCAGCACTAAAGTTTACTAGTGAATCAGACTGAATGACCAGACGCTGACAATCCAGCCCTTGTCTGATTAAGGCGCTGGCTCCCACGATGATAGCGTGATAAATCAACATCACGTCTTTGTAATCTGTGTTACGTCGGGAGTCAGTTGAGGCACGCCTCTGTTTTCTCAACATCCTCATGTGCTGTGTGCTTCACGCAGCACACCACGTTTGCTTTATTGCGAATGCTCAATGCTGTATCAGACGCGCGTGCGCGATCTGATGAACTGATAGCACGTGCCCGGCGAAAACACGCGCTGAGTACGTCAGTAGCATTAGGGTTCTTCGCGTTCGATAATTTATCACGCAACGTCTGTCATTCGTGTTTCCTCATTGACATCGGCGTTAAAGTGCAATTTGACACAAGTAAGAAGGCAGGTTCGCAGAGCATTCGTCGAAAGTGCTCAGGTATAATCATTGTTTGTTCTGATGACTGATCGGTATGTGCCGCGATTTATCATACGCCACAGTGGAATGGTTTCGTGTTTTGGTGGCGGAAAATTGCAACGGACCGGTGATATCGATCAGTGAATCGAAGTCATACTGCGAGGCTCATACGTGACAATCTTGAACTGAACGCACATTTTAACTGAAGCACCTTTCATTTTGGGAGGGCTTGTGATTTTTTGTCGTAGTTAGTGCTTAAGTGATACGCATAATATTGACCCTTTTTAATTATTGTTATCTTCTTGATCTGCCCTGTATCTTATATTCGGTTCTGGTGAGGACAGAATGTTTTCGTTTTGATCTTTCGATTGATCCGATTCATTTCTGCCGGATATCTGAGTTCGCAGTTACTCGGCCCCCATGAACACATTACACCGGCAGCGCGGACATTGACGCAGCCTAAGGGGTGGGGGCTCATGTGCTTTGGCGCCACGCGTCAGGTTCCGGCGTAATTTTCTACTACGCTATTTTTAAATTCCAGAACCGGGTGATCGCGAAAACTATTTGGGTTTTAAATCCCAGCGACACTACCATGAACAGTGATGTAAAGAACCCGACAGTCGTCATCAAATAACACGACTAGAGGGTAGCCGAGCGACCATGTTCGGTACGCAGCTGAAACAGATGTTTAAAGCACCACAGCAAACCAACATCGGTTCCTCATTGGCATGCCAGGCACTACACCTGTTAGCGTGTGCGTGGTCTGAAGTCTATTCGCACTGCTTGGTAGCCTTTCTTGTCACAAATTATGGTGTCCTCTCCCGTCGCAAATTCTGGTCACGCCCCCGAACGCGAGCAAATTCAGCTGTGTACATAAATTTGACCCGATAAAATGAGATCTTGCACTGAGATCATGTAAGTGTTGTGGCTGATTTCGTCACGTTTTGTCAGCTTGTTGGATAGGAAAAGACAAAAATGCTTCATTTCGCTTTATGCGTGAGGTAAAATGAACTTGTGTCAACAAACTGCAACTAACTGAGATTATCAGGGCAGATGCACACGTTTGTGCTGACACGTGTTGTGATGTAAACTGGGAGTCTACTTCTCCATCTTTAATTGCGAGGCTTCCCAAACCGTTTTTCTCGTCACCGGCTGGTCGGTCAGCCAGGGTGACCCGTGTCGGCTATTTTTCATGAAACCCCACAAAGAAGGGTGAGACGGCTAACGGAGACGCCGCCGACGCCGCTGTGTCACCCCGGTCGACATCTCACCGAAGCCAGGGCGGGTTTGGCTGGACTCCAGTGCAAATAACAACGAAATTGCATATTTTGTTGTTGTTTGGGTTGGCATGAGGCCCACTGGGGACATCAAGGCCACTGCGTGGTCCGACAATCGGTAATGGCTGCCCACGTCACGCACGTCTCACCACGAGACACGCATAGACGAGCGTGGCGTATTCCCGTTCGTATCGTGACGTATCCCCATGACCCGTTCGCAAAATCGTGCTCTCTTTTTCCGACGTGACGAATTTTTAAGACCGGAACAGTGTACGGCGGAGTAGGCTGGTACACTTTTTCGTATATCCTGGACATCTTGACAATTGATAGACGGAAATCCGTTGGGCCGATGGTTCACTCGAGACAATTGCCAACGCATGCGCAGAAGACGACAAGTACAGTGGGTCTGATCACTATGACCAGATTTTGATCGTTGCCGTGAGACCCGAGGTGGACGTATGGTAAACGCGAAACACCGTGGCTGCGGTGGCAGTGCGTGCTGTCAACGACTGAAGCATTTTGACTTGCGTAATGATTTTTAGGATCTTATCATGCAGTCCCACCTGAAGTTTTATCATGCGTATCTGCAACGCGACGCAACTCAGCTTCGATGACCATTTGTGCAAACTTTAATGCGTGCTGTTTTTCAGATGTATGGTCGCTATTCCAAGGATCTCGGGGAGTTCGCCAAGACAGAGTCGAAGCGTCTGAAAGAGATCGACAAGAAGAGAAAGCTGGACGAGAAACTGCGACGCCAGGAGTTGCACCGGTATCGCGGAAAGTGGACACGGCGTGTGGGCAAAGTGTTCGGGTTTGTGTGGAAGAAGACATTTGCGAGGATTGGTGAAGACTGGGTGTTCTTGACTGTGCTAGGGGTCTTGATGGCGTTAATCAGCTTTGTCATGGACTACGGAATCGCCATGTGCAATAAAGGTAAGTCTTTTGTTGGGCATGCGTTGATATCTGCGGACTTTGCCCTATGATTACGCAAAACATTATGCTTGTGATGATTGGTTGGAAACAGACGTACGCTTCTCGCAGATGACCTTGCCGTGCAGTTTGTATGCGTGTTTTTACTAAGGCCTGTATTACCATTGGCAGTGATGGTGCTTCATATGAAAATTAGAGCATGTACTTTTTACTTTATTTCTGTACGTCGCCTGTTAATGTGAGCACGCGACCGATTGTCCGGTTAGACACCCTTCGCTCGGGTGGGGAGTCAATTTGACACTCCGAGATCTCGAGAACTAAGAAAGCTAGAAACGCAAAATTCACAGGGTATCTTGACCTGTACGTGAACTCACTTAGATCAAAGATTGAGTTTCATAGGTCTTGACCTTTAGGTCAAATAAGGTCAAACAAAGTCAAATTCCAGGTTGGTCTCCAAAGTGCTCCCCGAACCTAGGCAACTGTGTCTAAGCAAAAGTTCCTAATCCAATTTGAGGTCAGTGACCTTGATTGACCTTTTGAAGGTCATGGTGACCGAAATCATACAAGACTGCTCTGAGCTTTGCATTTAAATAGGCGACAAAGATTACGCCAGGCAGTATGTTCCTAAGACAAAATGTCGACCCAGGTCATGTTAGGTCAATGGCCTGTTCTGACCTCTAAGAAGTCAATGGAAGATGTAAAATGCGGTTCCTGCTGTCAATAAATTTGGAATGAGCACCACAAACTATCCCATACAGCAAGCCTTGGAGTAATAAATCAGGTTGGTTTTGACCTTAGTCTGACCTTCATAGCTGATCTTAGGTCAACGTAATTTGCTCATTCAACTGTGGTGTTGCCTGAAAAAAGTATCTCAGAGATGTATGGCCTCGTCAAACACTCCGTTGTTGCCTCAGATTGAACGATTCCCTAGAAATTGTCTTCGCTGAAACCATGACCTGACTTTGACCTGCCCTAGGTCAGCGACCTTACAAGGTACTTCTAAATTGGTTATGTCAAACGATCCGCTATTCAATTGTTTACAGCTATGCAAAATTTGTCGCGGCTATGCCGCGCCGTTCGGAAACCATTCTGGAAAAACCTCTGGAGGGGCAATTTGATCCCCACCCGAGCGTATGTTAAATTTTGTCAAACTTAGCTTGTAGCCTGCTGCCTTCCCCCCCCCCCCCCCTTCCTGGTCATTTGCTATTGAGTGCATCACGATGGGTGTGACCTCTAAAATAGCTTACTGGCACTCACACTACATGAGTAAGGGGGATGATGAGGCTTCTGGGTGACGGCGTCGCGGCCAAAACTATGCCAAAACTATGCCAAAACTATGCCCTTCCACAAGTCCTCCCACATGTTCATCATCGCTGGCTAAGTCCAGTAAGCGCAACTCAGAAACTGACTAGTCATATTTCGTGTGGTAGCGTGTAACAAGCCTGCTCGACTGAGGCCGAGCTTATGAATTGCCCAGCGCAAATGTTGCTAATTTACGAAAGTCCATCAAGCCTTCATCCCTTCTCCAGCTGTGTTTTTCTCGTGTCGACGCCGCCCACAGATGCGGGTTGCGGTGTACATGCAAGAGTGTAGCTGGAAAATCAGTCGGTTTACGTGTGGGTGGAAAACAACAGGATCTTTGCCCTCGGGAGAAGCTTGGATGAGACGCTCCGAGAGAGAGAGAGAGAGAGAGAGAGAGAGAGAGAGAGAGAGAGAGAGAGAGAGAGAGAGAGGAGAGAGAGAGAGAGAGAGAGAGGAGAGGCAGAGGCAGAGGCAGAGGCAGAGGCAGAGGCAGAGGCAGAGGCAGAGGCAGAGGCAGAGGCAGAGGCAGAGGCAGAGGCAGAGGCAGAGGCAGAGGCAGAGGCAGAGGCAGAGGCAGAGGCAGAGGCAGAGGCAGAGGCAGAGGCAGAGGCAGAGGCAGAGGCAGAGGCAGAGGCAGAGGCAGAGGCAGAGGCAGAGGCAGAGGCAGAGGCAGAGGCAGAGGCAGAGGCAGAGGCAGAGGCAGAGGCAGAGGCAGAGGCAGAGGCAGAGGCAGAGGCAGAGGCAGAGGCAGAGCAGAGGCAGAGGCAGAGGCAGAGGCAGAGGCAGAGGCAGAGGCAGAGGCAGAGGCAGAGGCAGAGGCAGAGGCAGAGGCAGAGGCAGAGGCAGAGGCAGAGGCAGAGGCAGAGGCAGAGGCAGAGGCAGAGGCAGAGGCAGAGGCAGAGGCAGAGGCAGAGGCAGAGGCAGAGGCAGAGGCAGAGGCAGCTCACTCCAACCCTTACTGCTGGCCGCAGGTGCTGTCGTCAGGCGCACACTGGTTACGTGTGCTGTGTAGCGCGTTGAGACTACATGTCAAAATGGCTTACATCAGGAGACGACAATCATGACTACGGCCGGAATGTCAGGAGTCAAGGCGCGCCGTGTTAACGCTTTATGGATGCAGGTGTTGATAAATCCCGATGGTGTCCCAGGCGTAACTGCAGGCGTTACTGTGGGTCTGCCAAACACAAGCGCTACGTACGGCAGACCTATGGACAGGTCACCGGACCGTTATAACTCCTCGAGCCCTGTTATGACGCGATCCCCTCACCGTAGTGTGGGTGCGCAGTGTACATATGCAAGTGATGATCCACTTACGAAGGATCCAAATTTTCTAACATCGAAACGTTGTAATGATATAGACGGCCTGAATCACTGAAGTCAGCTGCCAGCCGCTGAGTAAAAGTCACGCGTCAGGTGCTCTGGATATAATTAGATTGTTGAGAAAAGCGGCTGGCCAAATATCACATCCGTTAATTAATTGTAAAAAACGGTGCCCAGGCTGCAAACTTGCAAGGCTAACTCAGGTTCAGCTGGTCTACGCACTGAAAGGGTTCAAACGTTGCTCATCGCGGCTGAATATACGCTGCTTGATTTCGAGCAGCGCACATTCTCGCGCTGCTCGAAGGTTTCGAAACCTCGCGAGGTTTCGAATGTGTTTTGGAAACGTCAATTCGAATATCGAACACAGTGCCCAATATGTCGCCAAGGAGCACACTGCAACGTCACGAATCCGCATCTCAACCACTTATGGAGCCGTCCTGTGGACTATTTTCAACCAAAAAAACTTTGATTTTGCCGGAACCACACGTTTGATGTTAAATGAAAGTTCGATGAACTGCCAGATTCAGTGTGATACTCGAGACAAAATAGTCTCTCGTTTGTATCCAGACTAAAGACAACTTGAGGCTGGAAATTACAAGTAACTTAAGCAATACAACACACCTGCCCCCTTACCTGCTGCGCTTATGCCATTAGTATCAGCCGCTCCAGACACCATTCCAATGTTAATCCCAGCGCCCAATCTAAATGGGAAAGCTATGACGGGTGGAAATCCGCCGCAAAACCCGCCAAGCCGAGGCTTGAAATTAGGACATAAAAAGATCATAAAACAGGTGTCCTGCAATTAAGCTTTACGTTGAACATGCAGCACACCCCATGCGGTTGGTGTTTATTTGGACTTGAGCTGACCAGACTATGGCGTGGCATCGTTGTCCCATCACAGCTTGGGTTTTGCACCTGGTTTCTATTGACCGTTATGTTGCCAACCGCACTGCCTGATCGGTCATCGATTGTCTGACTTGAAAGTGACGTTATTTACGTTTGGCGTGTCAATTTAGGCTGCCAGTGCAGCGGGGCATGCCGTTAGGACTGGCGCCGTCGCGACCGTCGCGCTGGGTGTGATTGAAATGGAGCATTGTCTCCATGTGAGAGTGCGTGCCTGGCGTGCGAGTACAGCATCGGTACGGGCCGCCCGCGGATAACACTGGAGCGCAGCCGATGCGACGTGCTGCCACATACCACAAAGTTACATTTTCAGGTACGCTTCGAAGTACAAGGAAGCCAAACATTGCAGTGTTCATTGCAAGTTTGCTTGTTCGCGCCGCGGCAGTTCGTGTTCGGTCTCTTAACTGTTCAACAACGGAATGCGAAACAAAATTAATCGCCCAGGACATTGTTTGCCTTAGAAATTCAAGCTTCACATGGCGATACATAAGGTGTCCATCAGGTCCGGGTGCATCACTAAAAGAGCCAAATATCTCCCTTCATTTGAACAGCTTTGATGCGGCGGCAACAACATTTGGATCTGAATGAGGCAAGTTAAATGTGTGCATAAGAACGTGACTTTAAATCGTATCTCCAAGTGAAAGCAGCAGGCTCTGTGTTTTCCTGCGGCGTCCGTCAAACTTACAGTAAGTTGACATGCGCAAGTTGAAGACTGCCCTCAGCTCAGAAACCCCTCATGACACCTCACTGACTCCCATGAATAAGCCTCGGCTTGTGCATTTCTATGGCTACATTCTGCTGCTAACCTTGAGGCACTGACATGCATTTTCACTTACTGCTGGAGCTCGGTCGAGTGCGGGCCGCTTTCAATATGCGGCAGCGCATTTTTGGCATATTTTTCCACGTGCAACGCCATCGAGCATACACAAACTTTGACTAAAGCCGAACCACGCAGGACAGCTGCCTTCTTGTTTTGCTTCGTATCTATGCTTACAGTACATGTTTTCACTGACAGCAAATGCATTTACCAACTGCACGGCGGCATGCCCTGCTCACGTGCTAATAAGGCTCCAGTAAAATGCGAACAGCCTGACTTACGTGAGCAACAGTGTTCGGGCGCGTCTCTTGTGCAACACCGCTTCGTGCTGCCGGTTTCTCAGTAAGTTTGTAAAGCTCCATTTCAGATAAAGTTGACTTTTCAGTGAGCGTGCAGCATGCCATTACCCAGCAAACGAACTCTGACGCGTTGCGCCGCCGCCGTCACGGCATGCTGATCGGAATCGGCATCCAGCGCCCGTGCCACGTTCGTGGAACGGTCAGGGTATTGGCGTACAGATTTTCTTAGCACGGAAAGACCAACGCGGCAATTTAAACCATATTCCTCACGAGAAGCTCATGGTGGCGCGGCTCGGGCAGGAATGTGCTGACGCCGAGCGTGCCGAGGCTGCGGGGCGCCGCACGGTCCAGCTATGACGACGGTGCTCGTCGGTTGGCTGCGGCCGGCCCCGCCGCGGCGAGGCCGGGTGTGACCCGAGCGTGGCGTCCGTTCCAGCGCGCATCTGGCTGTACCGAGACCTCACCACACATCCGGTGCTGCAGTACATCTCGTGGGTCTCGCTGCCCATCGCGCTCATCCTGTTCTCGGCCGGCTTCGTGCACATCGTCTCCAAGTCTGCTGTCGGTGAGGCAGCGGGCCACGGGCCGCGCCGGCTGGCCGTTGCCGGCTGGCCGTGCCCGGTACGGCCAGCCAGGGGGTGTGGGGGGGGGGAGCAAGGGGCAGCTCCTGGAACTGAGACAGCGTGGCGGCTTGTTGTGACTGTGCATCCGTGGACGAGGACTCAGTTGGTTTGAGGTGGTCACCGTCACTACATAGGCTTGTTCGCACCGCTTTCGGTGCTCTCGTTTATTGGTTGAGAACTCCTCATGATCTGGTGATCCAAAGGTCAAGCGATGGCTTGTATCCTACAAACCGCGGACACGCCTGGTGTGAATTGTGGTATTAGGTCCAGCACCAATGTGCCCTGGTTAGTAACACAGCGCTGACTTGTTTACCACCGACTGTGGTCGTCTGTGTCATGGTGTTAGCACGTTGTGATCTTAGGCATTGGGTTTGATCGCTACGGAAGGCTCCTGGGTACACAGCTGCACAGATATCCACGTACCAGCAACGCTAGAAGCCGTCTGTTCCCAAGCCATCTCGGAGTGCGGTGTCATTACCGCCTTCCGTCCGGTACCCGCCTGGCGTGGTACCCCAGTTTGGCCGGCGGCTGCACTGACACCGCCTGGCTGCCGTTGTGGCCCTACCCCGCGCTGTGCTGACACCGCCTGGCTGCCGTTGTGGCCCTACCCCGCGCTGTGCTGACACCGACTGGGCGCCGTTGTGGCCCTACCCCGCGCTGTGTTGACACCGACTGGGCGCCGTTGTGGCCCTACCCCGCGCTGTGTTGACACCGACTGGGCGCCGTTGTGGCCCTACCCCGCGCTGTGTTGACAACCGACTGGCTGCCGTTGTGGCCCTACCCCGCGCTGTGCTGACACCGACTGGGCGCCGTTGTGGCCCTACCTCGCGCGTGTTGACACCGACTGGGCGCCGTTGTGGCCCTACCTCGCGCGTGCTGACACCGACTGGGCGCCGTTGTGGCCCTACCCCGCGCTATGCTGACACCGACTGGACGCCGTTGTGGCCCTACCCCGCGCTGTGCTGACACCGCCTGACTGCCGTTGTGGCCCTACCTCGCGCGTGTTGACACCGACTGGGCGCCGTTGTGGCCCTACCCCGCGCTGTGCTAACACCGACTGGGCGCCGGTCCGCGCGGCCCGCAGGCTCCGGCATCCCCGAGATGAAGACGATCCTTCGCGGCGTGCCGCTGGATGAGTACCTGACTTTCCGCACCCTGGTGGCCAAGGTGGTCGGCCTCACGGCCTGCCTCGGCTCCGGCATGCCCCTCGGCAAGGAGGTGAGGTCGCTGGTGGCTGTGGCCGCGTCCCCCCCCCCCCCCTCTTCCTCGAACATTCGCTAGTGCAGACACCAGGATCCCACGCGGCAGCGATGTTTGCTGATGTTTTCCATTTTCGGTCGCGTTCGTGTTTCTCAGAATTGAGGACCCGTTTGATGGCTCATTTTTCTTTCTAAAGACAACGATGGGTTCATAAACATTGCCATAGAGTGGCATTAAAGCGACTGTGTGAGGTTTTCCCTTAAATAGTGAGTTACTTCGAGAGACAGAAAGTCAGGTTGGTAGACCGCCAATGGGAGCAGTATTTCTCTGGAAATGGCCTCATTCGCAAGAAAAAAGTTGTTACCTACACCATGATGTCACCACATGCTCCGCAAAGAATCAGTTGAGAATTTGCTAAACATCTCTAAGAGCCCAGCACGAATAGCAGATATTTACATTGTAACCTGTAAAATAAGTGTTTACTTTCGTATCACTGTTATATATTGGACTAGACCAGCCTTTATAATTTGCCTTTACGTTATACCGCTAGTTATGCAGAGTACGTTGTTTGGTCTCAATTGATGATGGAGTCAAGTGGTTGACACTGTAGAATTAGTCACTAGCCGGGAATAAGTATTCATTTTTTTAGGAGTATTTAAAAGCCTGGAGTAAAAAAGCATGTACATGAATTCAGGTTCTGTTCCATAACCGCCCTTGTCCTCACATTAGCTCTGTTGTCCTAATATTAACACAGACGTCCAGGCATTGTACCCGTACTGCGTATTGCATTTCCAAGACACGTAAGCACGTTTTCTCACAAAGAGACATGCCCTTCCATCCTCTTTCAGTCAGCAGCTGTCTTAACCTGCCTTTGGCTGATCGATCCGAGCTCGGTCTGTACGTGCGTGCTGTGGAGGTGACGCTAGCGCCACTCCGGGGTTGAGTGAGCCACTCCACCTCCCGTAGGGCCCGTTCGTCCACATCGCCAGTATCGTGGCGACCCTGCTGACGAGGCTAGTCACGTCCTTCAAGGGCATCTACGAGAACGAGAGTCGCAACAGTGAAATGCTGGCGGCGGCCTGCGCTGTGGGCGTGGCCTGCAGCTTCGCGGCGCCCATCGGAGGTGAGATGCCCGCCGCCCGAGTGTCAGTGGGCTAACTAAAACTAGAAAACTAGGGTTAACTAGACTGAGGTGAGACGCCCACCGCCCGAGTGTCAGTGGGCTAATTAAAAGGGGTGAGACGCCCACCTCCCGGGTGTTGGTGGGTTAACTAGACGGGGGTGAGACGCCCGCCGCCCGAGTGTCAGTGGGCTAACTAAAAAGGGTGAGACGCCCACCGCCCGGGTGTTGGTGGGTTAGCTAGACGGAGGTGAGACACCCCCCGCCCGGGTGTTGGTGGGTTAGCTAGACTGAGATAAGACACCCTCCGCCCGGGTATCGATGGTCCGCGTAGACAGAGATGAGACGCCCACCGCTCGGGCCGCGGTGGTGGTGCGGTAACCAGATGCACGTCAGACACCCACCGCCCGCGTGTCGGTGTGTTGACTAGACGGAGGTGAGACGTCAACTGCCCGGGTGTCGGTGGGTTCACTAGGCGGAGATAAGACGCTTGACGGAGCTTTGATGAGAGCCGCGCTCACGTTTCGGCATTCATTTTGAACGCTAGATAGCCCTGCATAAACTTTAGAACCAATCTTCAGAACTAATGATCCGTTCATCGATGCAGTTAACACAAATTTATGTCGGTTGTATATTATGTGAATGGCTGGATACTTAAAAAATGGCTGGGCCTCTCTTGCAAGTGCTTATTGCTGGTACCTGTGGACCACCTCGAAAATGCTAATTAGCTCGTAATAATATCGTAAAACACTCTTTTGTTTTGTTCGTATTATTGACCGGAGTTATGATTACTAGAGGCATCAGTTATTGTCTGGGACCGTCCCGATGATAGCAACATGTCAGAGGTACTGTCTTTCACACCAACAGTGAAGATGGACACGTTCTAGACAAGGCAAACACTGCTTCAGCTACGGTTCTGATGTTTTCTGTTTCTCCGGCATTGTTGAATGAACTGACATATTAGCCCATACGGCAAGCAATTAGCCCTCATATATTAGCAAGTAGGCAAGCAAGTAGCCTCAAATAATAGTCTTTACGTAGATGTTCTGCCTTCATTTCACGGATATGCTCCTATGAGCGGTAATATTTGCCTGTTCTCCGACCTACCCTCTTTGTGGAGTAGCACCTCTTTGTGCATGATCAAATGAACCAGCGAACCAGCGACCCGTAGACTTATTGTGTCTGGCTGCACTTCTGTAGTATCTCAGCCCTCCGTACTAGAGGCGTAAAAACGTCGCGCGCGTCCCTTGAACCCAGCCGTCTAATATCTGGCAGACAACCGCGCCTGGGGCTGGTGTGCTGTCGATTGTGTCATCGGCGTCATCATGTAAATGTTTACTGAGCGCGGGCCGGCTGTCGCGACCCTGTGTAAGGCCACGAGCCCGCTTGGACAGGCTTCTGCTGCATTAATACTCGCATCGCCTTATTCGATACACTGAAGACAACGCTTTCTTTAAAATAAGAAAGGGTTGCACAGCAATCCCGAATGCTTACAGTCTTCCCCTGTATGCGTCACTGCATGGAAAAGTGTTGGTGTGTTGTATGGCCTGCGCTTCCAAAAACACAAAAAAGCACCCTTGGCCACACCGCCAGTGGCCAGTCTTCCGCGACGCCTCGCCTCTCACCGGCTGTGCCCCGGACCGCCGCCAGGCGTGCTGTTCAGCATCGAGGTGACGTCGGTGTACTTCGCCGTGCGCAACTACTGGCGCGGCTTCTTCGCGGCCGTGTGCGGCGCCATGGTGTTCCGGCTCCTCTCCGTCTGGTTCCAGGACGAAGGTAGGCACCGGCCGGCCGGGGTCACACCGGAGGCGCGCACAGCTGCCGCTCCGGGGCGGCGCTCTCCGGGCCTCTCCTCAGATCGCGTGCGCCTGCGGCCAGCCTGGTGTTGGTGTGGTTCTCCCGGTAGCAGGCTTGCCCTCGAAGCGTGTGGTAGCTGCATCGACTCGTTGGCACAGTTTGTGATGTGAGTTGTGCTGGCCCGCGCTCTGTGCGCCTCTGGACACCGCAGTAGAACAACTTGGTCCGACGAGTGTAAAGTCATCATCCTTAACACGGCAAATTGCACTACTTTACTGACTTACGCTACGTTCTGAGACTTTTCCGACCATCGGTCATTTAGCCCGTCTGTGAGTACATTGCGCTTCAATGTTGAGATCTTCGTGTTTCTTCTGTCGTTGCGTGCGCCAAGTGAACATCATCACACTTAATAGAACTTATGGCAGGGGCAAATCGTGCTTTGAAGGGAGACTGATATTTATTTCATAGTGAACATTCTGTGAGATGATTCTCCGTTACCACCTTGTATCCCCCGTTACCTGCGGGAGTGTTTACCATGCGATGCCGCTTCCAGAGACGATAACAGCTCTATTCAAAACGGACTTCAAGGTGGACTTTCCATTTGATCCGCAAGAGCTGTTCGTGTTTGCGCTTATCGGGTAAGTATGCAACAAATGACAGACGTTGAGTGCAAGCGTATCCGACGGATATTTTATACTAGGACCCGTATGAAAAAAATGAAATGGTCTCACTGGCATTGGTGCTCTCACCAACAGATTTTCGCTAAGCAGAGACATTTATTGAAACACTGTCTGCCTACAGTGCCGTGGCTGGCTTTGCCGGAGCGTTTTATGTGTGGGTTCACCGGCGATACGTGGTCTTCATGCGGCACAACACCTGCATGAAGAGCTTCCTGCGACAAAAGTAAGTAGATCGTACCGCGTCTTTACCAGTTCTCGCATCGGACGTGCGCGCCGAATCTCCAGATAACTACCATAAGTGGGGTTCGTGGGCTCATTCGGCGATAAGACGTGACGTGAGCTGGCTTCGTAACTCGTCAGCAGCGTAAGCAAGCGTCCAAGCCAAAGTGTAGTGGCTAACTTGTGTAAACAAACAACGGGGCGTGCGGACTTCAGCGCGCGTTACGGCCGTTCTCCAGCAGATCTTAGGGTCTGTTTATCGAGACGAACGAGCGATATTTCGGTCATGTTTCTGCCGGCCCTTTGGTGGTGGCAATACAGATGTTTTGCCGCAGTGTCTTACGCTTGTGCAGCAGTGATCGTGATGACTATTATACACTTTCAGTCCTGGTCCCAGAAAATGTGCTTACTCCGTGAATGCTAGCGTAATATCGCTAACCCTGTGGGGAACAGCATTAATCGGGCCCGGCAGTCCTTGTCCCAACATTACATGCTCCCGATCGATCAGTCTGTTGGTAAGCACTGTTATTTTGACATAATCGACTTGTTTAACGACATACAGACAGGCGAGTGCCGTTACATTGGGCCTACTTATCGCATGTGGCATAATCAGTGATATTCTATCCCAATCCAATGGGGCGATTTCGTTGAGTAGTGAGTAGCACGAGTGTACAATTTAGCGCACCACCAGCAGTGGTAGGGAGGATTTCGCTTCGGTCGGGAAAGCGTCCCATCTCAAAGCCGCCAGCACATGCAATCTGCAGCATCACAGTAAGATTATTTGCAGTTATCCCCCCCCCCCCCCCCCCCCCCCGGTGATCTAGTCACCCGGCTCGGCGCGCAGCTAACTTGGGCTACACTGTGTGACCAATGCATGTTAGTACGCAATTGTGAGGCTTTATCACTTTCCCAAGAATGGCATTCCTGGCAGAACGTTTGTCCGACGCACGCTCTGCCTCACGTCTGTCGCCGACATACCGTTTTCTGCTGTGCGACGGTCGCCTCAGTACGTGCCTCTTCTCTGCGTTGCAGCCGGTTTCTGTATCCGTTCTTCATTGCACTGATGGTGTCATCTGCGACGTTCCCCTTGGGTCTGGGACAGTTTCTAGCCGCAGACCAAACCACTCATGACCAGGTAGGACAACAACTAGCCACTTATGCTTGTTTTTGCCAAACCTAACTGAGTACTAGCATGAAAAATGCAATATATATATATATATATATATATATATATATATATGCATTTATACCAATAATATATAATAAATACAAGTGCGTTGAGTTGCGATAATTGGTTCCACTGACACTTCGCCTGCACCGACTTTGTCGATGCTGGTGTTGGTAGGAGCACAAGCGCGCGAGTCTGGTGCATGATGTAGATGCAGATTTCATTAAGGAATAGTGCAGCCGACAAGTCGTGCATGCTATGGTCATCCAGGAAGCCTGTTTTCGTTAATATGATAACAACCATTTGCTTTGATGGCCTGATTAGCTGTGAACTGTATGATAACTCGCCGGGGCGTCTCATCCGTAGGTTCTAGATCTCTTCTCCAACTTTACTTGGTCATCACCCGAACTTAATGTAGACGAAGCAGAAATAGTGGACCACTGGACGAACCCGTACACAAACTTCTACGTCAACCTCTGCATCTTCATAGGGGTTACCGTAAGTGTCTGTTTTTCACCTCTAGTTTCCTGGACGCGCAGCTCAACCACTACGTTATCGGTATCGCCCTCGTTGACGTTCAGAATAATATGAGATGTAGATATAACATAGCCTTGTGCGAAGTTGCCAGATGTATATTTTTAGAGTGCCTCTTTTCATGCAACGCCATACCGATGGTAGTGATGCTCAGGTGAACTCTAGTCAAATGCGTCTAGTCAAAACTCTAGTCAAACACCACCGCGTGGCGGTGGTGTCCACTCATCTGACCCAATGGGCGTGTATGGACATGTGTCTGGCGGTGTTGGCTTCCACCCTGTACCCGTGGCCCGGCGGAGGTGTCCCTAGGTGAGGATGTCGGCGGTCGAGACCACTGTACCCCCGACTCTGGTTGAACGTGCTAACAGAATGCGTTGAGGGTTTCGCCGTCCACACTTCACTCTTGACCTGGCAAACACGTGGATGGTGTGTGAAGTTGGTGGTATCCAGACTGCACCCTCCGTTCCGTGGACAGTGGTGGACAGGCGTACGGCGGCGCTGGCGTCCACACTGAACCGATGGAGACATGGACAGATGTGCACTGCGGTGTTGCGTTTGTACTGGCCCACTGGACGTGTGGACTGATGCTCCCGACTCCCCACTAACCCAGTGGGCTGGTGGACAGATGTGTATGGCGGTGGTGGCGTCCACGCTGCCCGTGCCGGCCGGCACCTTCATCCCCGTGTTCAAGATGGGCGCCGCCTTCGGCCGGCTGGTGGGCGAGCTGATGGCCATCTGGTTCCCCCAGGGGGTCCGCTACGGCGGCCACATATCACCCATCATGCCAGGTCAGTACCAGACCCAGAGCCACAGTCAGAGTCAGAGTCAGAGTCAGAGTCAGAGGGAAATTAAGAATTAGTTAGGGGAAGTTAGAATCAGAGTCAGGAGATGAGTCAGAATCAAAGATTGGAAAAAGCCAGAATCATAGTCGGGGAAGAGTTAGAGTCAGAGTGTTATGGGAAGATTCTGTGTCAATCGGTGTCAGAGCCAGAGTCGGAGTCAGAGGTCAGGACGCCCACACCTGTGCTGTAAGCCCTGCTAGCCATGGCATGAATTGTACTTGCCACGAGCTTTATTTTGTTAATGCTTACATCTGGCTTATGGTTATATATGGCCCCAGTAACAACTCAAAGACGCAGTAACAGAATCGAAGCGTACGACTCGTACCAAGGCGAATGATGTTGCTTCTGGTAGCTTTGAGAAACTTTGAGAACGCATGTGTTCTGTTCTCTGGATTCTCGTCAGTCTTCCGCGTTATGGTCACCGGACGGAGCCAATCCTGGCTCGCGACCTACCGAGACGCTGTGCGCGCCTGTTGCAGGGGGCTACGCGATCGTGGGCGCAGCCGCTCTGGCAGGCTCAGTCACAAACACCATCTCCACGTCTGTCATAGTGTTCGAGCTGACCGGCCAGATCACCCACATCCTTCCCGTCATGGTGGGTGGGTGGGGGAGGGGGAGTGGGGGAGGGGGGGGGGGACGGCTGTGGGCCGGGCTATTCCGGACTGTAGCTCGGCGGCGTTGGGATTTATATCCCGTATGGGAAGGCTGCTGCGCCTCATGCGTCTAGACGGGCGGTAACATCGGCCTCGCGGGGCGGGGCTCCGTTTAGGGGGCTCCGTTTAACTTCGAAAGAAGCAGCGCACTGGTGAGAGGCTGCCCTGCTGTGGGAAAGCTGTCAAAAGCGTAGCTATTTTGCGCGCGAGCATAGCCTACATCTTTTGGGAGGCACTGCCAATTGTTATCGCGTATTATCTGTTTGAAATCGCACGTATTTCGTCCATGGTATTTCATGCTCACAACTCGATAGCACTCATTCAAGTACTTTGATTTCATCAAACCTTGCCTTGCAGATTGCTGTGTTGATTGCAAACGCGATATCCCAACTACTACAGCCCTCCATATATGACAGCATAATCCAGATTAAGAAGCTTCCGTACCTTCCGGACATAGTCACGTCAACAAGTAAGTCTTTATAGCTCACGACCAGCTGCAGCTGATAGCAGTGTTAGCAGCGCACTCAGTCACGCCTCACTGGGAAGCGAGATTGGCTGAAGCTGGACACGTGCTTTAAGATACCAAACAGGTGCGTTCTTGCAGAAGGTGGCAAGCGATGTGGGCACACAGGATATCCTCGGGAAAATCGAGAGCGGTCTGCGATCTGCGCTTTATGATGAGCGCGACCTTGCGGCACACAGGAAATAGGTGGTGGATAGTGCACATAGAAATGTAGTACACACAGAAAAGGTACTTCTGACAATTGCTTGTAGGATAAAAGTCGTGTGCATAATGTTCGTTAGGATGAAGTAGGACATAAGGTTCGTAACGACAAATAGTTCGCGAATTAAAAAGTGCGTATAGATATAGATAGTGTGGTAAAATGGTCGTTTGGAAAATATGCGCTACGGGAATGTTTGTAAGAGCAATAGTTCGTATGAGAAAAGTTCGTGAGCAACTGCTAGTGCACGAATGTTCGGGCACCAATGTTGGTCAAATATAACGTTCGTTTGGCACGATAACGTGATGAAAGGTTTGTGTTTTGATATCTGATCTAAGCACACACAGTTTGGATGCAAATGTTCGTTAGGGATTAAGTTCATTTCACAACAGTGCGTCCGCAAAACTTCGCATGCAGACGTGTAATGTACATTGAAATGGGCATATCGATCCTTTGTGCCAGGCCGCGGATGAAGTGTCACTTCGGAGGCCACCAAATCCAGTATAGAAGATGGTGGTGGACAGCGACAACCGCGTGCGCGAGGTCAACTATTACGATTAGTCCACCTCTTCATGACATGAAATGAGACGTCCCTCAGCGGTCCCCAGGTCCACTGTAGATCACCCGTTAAGTTTGTTGTGCTTCCCCTTTATCCCTCACCCTGACCAGGGGCGGATCTAGCCTGGATATTTTTGGGGGGAGGTGGGCAACCGTTCGTTGCCAGCTGGTTGGTGTGGGATCCGAGGTCCAGCGCGTGGTGCCTCTCGCGAGTACCTAGTAGGGACACCATTCAAGCACTGAAATGCTTTTGAATTTTCAATATACAGCATGCATGTTTACAAAGCTCGTAACATAAGATATTGCCTTCAGGAGTCAACCGGTCAGATGGGGTTTGTTGCAAATGGCGATAACAGAGATTAAGTAGACGACACTTTTATGAAGTTCTGGGAATGATTTGGGGGCCAAAACATACTCTCAGAGTTTTGGGGCGGCCATGGCCCCGTGCCCCCTCCCCCCCAGGATCCGCCTATGACCCTGACGACAGCTCTGTTCGACGCCTCCTTACGCCCCCCCCCCCCCCCCCCATCGCGCCTCCGGCGCCAGCTGACGGACGCAACGAGAGCCGGCTCGATTGGGCAGACGGCGGGTAGGCGCGCCATTGATACTTGGTGTACGGTGGCTTATTTAAAGTTAATTGAAGTCCAGGGATAATGATGCACCAGTTGGACTTGCTTCAATGCACCGTCTTGGATTGGGACCGTATTTGCACCCAACCCAGAATTGTCCAAAAGCATCATTTTCAAACTGTACGCCAAATGTGCCTAGAATATACTCTCCTTAGACTGTCCTCAGAAACCGATTTTCGGCAAAATTTGAGAGCTGACGGTACACAATTTCGTACCCCGGTGGTCAATCTGTTCCGAAACACCCATCATATAAATACCATCCAGCATTCCGCGGTCGATGTTCTCAATGTATCGCTATAGGCTTAATGTTCAGCATTCCCCGGATATTGGGTGTACACCCACGAACCCCCGCTCCCACGTACGTGCTGCTCACGAACCTTTGCAAAAGTTCTTTGGTCAAACCCGTTGGTAAAACCAGTTATATTCGTTACGAACACTTGCGCGCATATAATTGGTTACAAACAATTACGTGCGTGCTGTATAGACGCGACTTCTTTGCGAACTTTTGTCTACGCGAACATTTTCCATACGTACTTTATGCCATACGAGCATTTGCGTACGAACATCTGCGTGCGCACTTCTACCCTAAGAACTTTATACCCCATGCACATTTCTTTACGAACACTCGCGTCATACTTCATGCATACGTGCTTTTCCCGCGCGTACTTTCGTGCCAAAACCACGAAAAAATAGCTGGAACGAACAGCATGCACTGGGTCAGGGCTCATGCGGTGATTCATTTGTGGCTTACACAACTCGGCTCCAGATGTGACGACAAACATTGTCTGTACGTCGTGTGCCGTCCTGCCATCGTCTTCCTTTCCCGATCGCTGAACTGTACCGTCACACAGGCTTCTCTTCTCGCTGCCACTGATGTCCTCTCCCAGTCGTTGGAGTCTTTCGATGGTGACTGACATCCCTTGATGGTGTCCCATGGTGCATGGTGCCTGCTCCACCGAACCATTGCCTCGCAATGTCTCGGTGGTGTGTCCTGTCGCTACCCCCAGTCCACCCACCACCCTTGTGAGGTTCTCGATGTATCCTGTCGCTACCCCCCGTCCACCCACCACCCTTGTAAGGTTCTCGGTGTGTCCTGTCGCTACCCCCCGTCCACCCACCACCCTTGTGAGGTTCTCGATGTGTCCTGTCGCTACCCCCGTCCACCCACCACCCTTGTGAGGATTCTCGATGTGTCCTGTCGCTACCCCCCGTCCACCCACCACCCTTGTAAGGTTCTCGGTGTGTCCTGTCGCTACCCCCCCGTCCACCCACCACCCTTGTGAGGTTCTCGATGCATCCTGTCGCTACCCCCCGTCCACCCACCACCCTTGTAAGGTTCTCGATGTGTCCTGTCGCTACCCCCCCGTCCACCCACTACCCTTGTAAGGTTCTCGATGTGTCCTGTCGCTACCCCCCGTCCACCCACCACCCTTTTAAGGTTCTCGATGTGTCCTGTCGCTACCCCCCGTCTACCCACCACCCTTGTGAGGTTCTCGATGTGTCCTGTCGCTACCCCCGTCCACCCACCACCCTTGTAAGGATTCTCGGTGGCGTCACGAGGTGCGGCGTCCCAATGTCGCTGTCTCTGCTTCACTGCCCCCTTCCTCGCAAGCTCACCCGGCGGTGCCCCCTGTCACTCGCCCTGCTCTCCCTCCCCGCTTCTTGATGCTGACGCAGCGTCTCTCGGCGATATCCGCCAGACGCGTACTCGGTGTACGTGGAGGACATCATGGTGCGGGACGTCAAGTACATCTGGCACGGCATCACGTACCGCCAGCTGCGCGACATCCTGCGCCAGACCAAGAAGCTCTCCAGCGTGCCGCTGGTGGACGCGCCCGGTGAGGCAGCGGCTCGGATTGCTGCCGGGTAGTGTCAGGCTGTGTCAGGAATCACTTGGTAGTGTCAGACAGCCCTTGGCTGGTTGCGGTCGGGCAGAGCTTGGTGTCGAGGATCTGCTACGATGGTCGCGGCGGGGAAGACCTCGCGGGATTTGTGGATAGTTGCGGGAAATTCGGCTCAAAAGATACTTTTATGTTATGAGTCGGTTACAAATTGCCTCCTCCGTGTTGAAGCATCCAATGCTGAGGAATGTGATGATCTGTCAAAGATCTTTCAGCTTCCAAAGGTCATCTATCTTTCGGAGATCTTTCATCTTTTAGATATTGGTAAGATGTCGAAGATCTTCCTTGGGCCTCTTGATATACTATATTTGTTGCGGTTCATTGGAAGCAGGCTGGCGGCGGCATTCACTGAGCAGCCTCAGGCAGAAATACCGACAGGGGGTCTGTGTGTGCGACAGCGGTTAGTAGAAAATCCGCGGAAACGGCGTCAGTGGACAATTTGTGCGGAAACAGTGCGCAGACGGTGTGCAGGCAGCGGACAGTTTGCTTGGACGCGGTGTCGGTGGAGAGGCCGTGTGGAGGCGGTGACTTCCGCCTGTGCTGTCTGGCTGTCCGGCTGTCTCTCTCCCTGACCGGCAGCCTCCGTCGGCAGAGTCGATGATCCTGCTGGGCAGCATACGGAGGAAGCAGCTGGTGGTTCAGCTGGAGACTCACCTCGGCAGGGATCGACGCATCGAGGTCGTCGCCAAGTGGCAGCGCGCCGCCCAAAAGTCAGTACTTGCCGCAGCACTGCGTCGCCCCCGGGGTGGTGTTCAGTACAGATTTGGATGGCAGACCAGGCGCCGCACGCTTTGCGTTTGACCCTACCGTGTCACTCTGCATGACCCCGTCCCATAGCGTGTCCGCCACAGCCCTGTGAAGTCTGGTTCTGTCCACAGCCTGTCTGATCCGACAGCACGGCTGCGGACGGCGCCCGGCTGGGTGCTGCGAAACCGATCGAGCAGTTTTTCTGCCAACGAACTTTATCGCATGAGTTTTTGCTCTAATGGCTCGGGTTATCGCTAATCGCAGTTTGTTGTTAGGACGTAGATGCACCCACGCAGCTGTTTGAGCCATGGAATCAATTTAACAACGGCTGTCGGTGGGATAAATCAGTGATAGCTCCCCGTTGGACTGAGGCGATAACTGTTTCGGCCAAGAACGAGAGAATCATCTGTGTACCACCACTTTCTGAAGATTTAGCTTTGGGTCTATGGGCGTTATCCGCACGAAAATGACCAGAAATGGCTATTGCCCATGCTAGCTTGAAAAGGCTCCCTGGTTCTTGTTGCTCTCATTCTTTCCAGTAAATCACGACTCCGCCACTGCCGGGAGCTGAGCTTTACATCATGTTTCTTGCAGCTGCCCAGTTTGTGAGACGCGCTATCGGAGACCCAGTTCGAAGTCAGTACCCGTTCCCACGCTATCCCCTCTGGAACCGCTTATCACCGTCTCTGTCGCAGGATCCGACTGGCCAAGCACAACCATAACTGGAAGGCGCTGGTGGCGCTCGCCAAGGGTGAGCAGGAGGACGCGGCGCGGCTCGAGCACCGCGCCTCAATCGTCGCCGAGCTGGCGCCCGAGCTGCCCGCCGCGCAGCGCGAGCGGCCGGAGCACGAGCGGGAGGATGTGCTGGACGTGTCGGGGGCGCGCGTGTTGGAGAGCGACGACCCGCCGCCGCCGTCGGCCGATCCGCAGGCCCGCAGGCCCTCGCGCTTCGCCGTCACGCCGGTGACGGACGATGTAGCGCCGGCGCCCGCCGCGCCGCCCCAGCGACCGGAGCCGGAGCCGGAGCCGGAGCCAAAGCTGGAGCCGAAGACGGAGCCGAAGACGGAGCCGAAGACGGAGCCGAAGACGGAGCCGAAGACGGAACCGGATTTGAGGTCAGCTTCAGAACAGGAGCCGGGGTCGGACCAGGAGCCGGAGCAGGACTCTCTGCTGCCATCTCCCAGGACCACCTTCTGCGTGGATACCGACTCGGAAGAGGTAAATACATTGTCGTTGACTCCAAACATATATCTGAGAGAGCCAGCACAGCTCCGTTTTTAATGAAGCTGGTTTGAACACGATATTTAAAGCGCAGTGTTCTTAAATACAAAAGATTCCGTTCGGCGTTGATGTTCTGCGCTAACATTTCCTTACCAGGCACTGTCAACGTCATGCTGCACTCCTCGTCTTCTCAGCGGTCCGCAGTCGTAGCCAGCTGGGTTTTTGTCTCAAATCCTCTCGCACCTTCTCGCGTTCTTGGCTTTTCCAAATCCCTGTCGGTGACCTTTCGCCCACGCCAGCCCAGTACCGTCCTGACCGGCCTGTGCCCGAGCCCCGTGCGGAGCGGCGCGCTCGGTGGGCCGTCCTCAGCCGTCCGTCTGTCGCAGGAGCGGTCGCCGGGCGGCTCGGGCGCGTCGCCGTCCCGCGCGCGGCCGCGACCTCTGAAGCCCATCCTGAAGAAGACGGGCTCGTTCTCGCTGCGCCGGTCCAGCCCGGCGCACACGCCGGTCAACACGCCGTACGCGACGGTGACCGGCGGCAGCGACGGCAGGTGAGAGCTGCCGCCGGGCCGCCGCCGAGAGGAGCCGGGTCAGCGCGGTGTTACGTCTGCGTCGTGTGGTGAAAGCGATCAGGTGATGGCTCATAGCGTGGCGATGATGTAGCGGCTCTGGTGGTACGGTGTGATAGTTTTTTCGGTGCCGCCGGTGTGTCGGTCCCTGAGGTACCGCTGCTGTGACGATTCCTGGCGTGCCGCCGGTGTTACAGTCCTTGTGTATGACACATAGCATGCCCAGTTCCTGTGGTGCCAGCCCTGTAGTATCGTCCGTGGGACGACGCGGTCGTCGGCGGCTGCTGTGCTCCGCACGCTCAGGTCACTCGTCGGGTCGTGACCCGCTCTCCGTCGTCCCCAACAGACTGAGGGCGGCGTTCGACCGGGTATTCCAGCGATCCCGCGAGCTGAGGGCCTCCAACGGCTTACGCGACGACAGCAACAAGTCGCTCTCTTCTCAGAAGCACGTCACGCTGGTGAGAGCCTTCACGAACATGTCAGGCTCGTCGCATTTGAAACCGTTGGTAGTCGCTGGCGCATTGCGCGGCGGTTAGTAGAGTAGTTGGCTATGCCCAAGTTTAGTGAGTCCATACGTAGAGGTAGTGTCGAACAATAATTTTTTTAGGAGAAAGGGACAAACCTTTTGTCGAAAAAAGTAAAATGCTTAACTTACCTCGAAATCCGAGAACGTGACAAATAATCCGAAAACCGAAGACCGAAAACGTGTTTCTCCCGGCTTTGATTCGCTGCCCTCTTAAAGTTTGTGTTACTGGAACCCCGCCTGAATAGAAAAGTGCACTCTTGAATCTATTTAAGTGCTGTGATGGACACAACTTCATTACGTCAGGATTTATGCAAGCAAATCCAATGGGCGGACCTTTTTATGGGGCGGACGAGATGCGTTAAGCCCATTGGTAAAGCGCGTTTTGTGTAGGTCAATAGCCCTTTGCGGCGAGCAAAATATATGAGGTTTGTGCCGCGTCCTTGGTCTGGGGAAAGAAACTCGACTTGTTGACCAGCAGCGGTAGATACGAGTCCTAGGTTTGTGGCGTTATCTGGATCGACTGAAATGAAACGTCACCTAGCAACCAGCCAATGAGATCTAGGCCAGGCCCAGGGCCGCCGTGCGGCGGCATTATACGGCCCGTAAACCGTAAGTCACCCGCAGCCCTACCTGGCAAGAGCACGGGGGACACCACCACCCGTACAACTGGGCCGACACGCTATAATTTCGTTGCATGATGATTTAATTATCGCGTGATGTTGTCTGATCACTCGTTGGCAGACGATCTTTAATGCGATTTTGAACTTCGGTGATGTATGAGCTATGTCCGGTACCAACAATGAGTGAACGAACCTGTGGCGGTCGAAATGCTGAAGGCTGCGTTCCCTGGCGCTCCGTTTAGTCACCAACCCTGCGCGTTGGCGCGAAGAACCATCCTCGCTCGTTGGAGATGCGTGAGCACCCTGGTTGCAATGCCGCTACTTGGTAAGCCACGCATGCAAAAAGGCATAGCTGGTGTGCAAACGATATACACTACCATTTATATGCAACTTCTGATACGTGTGCTTACCACACGCTCATAGCACTTTCACATCCTCGCTCTCCAACGCGTTCTCACCCACAGACGAATACACGTCGGCTCTGGTGGAGATACGCTCGAGTGTATGTACACGGGCGCGGGCGCACGGACGCTGAGGCACAGACGAGCCCGTGCGTGACTGAACGCTCGCGTACGCTTGTAACCAGGCACGCCCAGTGTCACACGTGGGGCTATGCATCAGCTTACACGTACTGAAGGCACCACGTTATGATGCTTACAACCGTGCAAGCAGCGCACAGGTGGTAGCGTATCGTAGCGCGCACGATGACTTTTGACGATAGCCAGGCGCACGTTGTCGCCCACCCTGTTCTGCGGTGCCGGTGATGATGGCCCACCGGCGCACCGGGGTTCAAGCTTGGATCGTCTACGTGCAAAGCCAAGGCCGTTATCGCTCAGGCATCGCGCTGTCGCCACTGCTCTTTCTATAGCGCCGCCAATTAGTGAGGGATTATGTGTGTAAGCCACCTCGACGCTGTGCGGTAAGCTGAGTGAGGTGAAACTGTGTGCTATTTTCAACCAGTGCGCAAACCCACACGCTGCGTGTAGTTGGCTACACGGACAGATATTGCGCGGTGCCTTCATATGTACGCTATAAGAGCAGATAGTCATTCGGTCCAGCTCTATGCTGTGTATGTTTCTGTAGCGTTAGTTAAGCTGCTTTAGAGTTTAAATTTCAACGTCAACATTATTAGTGTTCCACAGGACTGTCCTAGGGCCTTAGAAATGTCTTCAGATATAGCTGCGTCCGCACGCAAGATGCGTTAATAAAGCATCGTGCCCGTGGAACAGGATATTAGGAATTGCTTATGCGTACTACTCCTCTGATTTCAGCTGCTGCGGACGGTTCACTTTATTATTCGACATGAGGTGCCAGAAAGTATGAACCCCTGTCTTGCATGCCATTTTGTTTCGGTGCATCTGTTTGTCCCATCTATTCCGAATGTATGCCACCTTGTGCTCTGTTTGTTTTTTTGCAAACCTGGATGTATGCCGATTTCTTGTCTGCACGTTATCTCTCCTCTAACCGTTGCTTTTTATTCACGCAAAGTATCGAACGTTTTTCTGAAGCTGCAAAGCATACAGCCATTCTTAAAAGTATGCACTGTCGTGCACGCAGCGTGCCTTTTCACCATGGTCGTGTATTTCCCGCATCCTTGTAGTCCGCAGTGGCGAAGAGATCGCCAGCGCGTGTGTCACACCAACACAGTGCAACCCACCACGACCGTGCAGGCCGGCTGGGCGCGCCGACTGTACCACGCCGAGTTCGTGCGCGTCCCAGCTTGTCTTATGTGCACCTCGTTGGCGCAGTGCGTGGCCGTGACTGCAAAATGTGTGGCTGTGACTGGAAAACTGCTGACCACCTGTAGCAGTGTGGCTCAGCCCAGTCCAGGAAAAACAACGCCACAGCTGTGGGTCGTGGGGGTCACATACAAAAAACCGAACAGCGTTCTTCTGCCGGTAGTGAAGTGTCAGAGCCACGGATGTCAGATCATTTTGTTACGGTCGTTTTCGTACATAGCAGCGATGAACATGGGTCACACCAGCAACGAGCAATGTGTGTTTGGTTGGAGGCGGGACCTGTGCTGTTGTACTGACATGTAAGACGGTCTCATTCGCAGCCGACTGCACGTGTTATGGACATGTCTTACGAAGACCAGAAAAAGTGGGAAGAGGAAGAACTGGACAAGGAAGTGAACTTTGACGACTGCAAAATCGGTAAACTGAGAGGCTATCATGGAATGCTAATTTTCAAAAGTGCTGCGTACGACTTAAAATATCAGTCGCTGAAAATAAGACGCATATAGGGTGATAATTGCGGGCTACGAGTGTACTTTAAATGCAACTTTTGTACTTTTCCAACATGCATGCCAATACTCAGTCCTGATTAAGCCCACAATGCTGTCAGTGCGTTTCATTGCGGCCTTTTGACGTATTCAGCTGCGGAGGGCGTGCTGTGTCACCTGCCTCTCACCTGGGCAGGAAGGACGGACACCGCGGGGAATCGAACCCGCGTGCGTGGCTGTATGGCACCGGAGGTGCCATCCTTCTGATTTCGCAGACGCGCAGCTTTAATCCCTCAGTCTCTGCCCACCATTACCACCATTTCCCGTTCTCTATTGCTGCCAGTCTTACCCGTCGCCCGTTGTCACCAGTACCATGCTCTGCCTGCCGCCGTCACCAGTCCTTAGTTCGTGGTCCTCGTCCCCCTGTCTTCAGTCTCCTCCCGACGTCGTCACCAGTCTGGCCTCTGTCCGCCACGCACCAGTCCCGAATCTTGGCCACCACCATCGGCCGTCTCCAGTCCGTCCTCCACCGCCACCAGTGCTCTCCCCTCTCCTGCAACCGTTAGCGGTCTCCAGTCTGTCCACCACCGCCACCAGCGCTCCCCTCTCCTGCAACCGTGAGCGGTCTCCAGTCCTGTCCACCACCGCCACCAGCGCTCCACTCCCCTGCTGTCCTCAGTGGTCTCCAGTCTGTCCGCCACCGCCACCAGCGCTCCCCTCTCCTGCAACCGTTAGCGGTCTCCAGTCTGTCCGCCACCGCCACCAGCGCTCCACTCCCCTGCAGCCGTCAGCGGTCTCCAGTCTGTCCGCCACCGCCACCAACGCCCCACTCCCCTGCTGTCCTCAGCGGTCTCCAGTCTGTCCGCTACCGCCACCAGGCTCCACTCCCCTGCGTCCTCAGCGGTCTCCAGTCTGTCCACCACCGCCACCAGCGCTCCACTCCCCCTGCAGCCGTCAGCGGTCTCCAGTCTGCCACCGCCACCAGCGCTCCCCTCTCCTGCAACCGTGAGCGGTCTCCAGTCTGTCCACCACCGCCACCCGCTCCCCTCTCCTGCAACCGTGAGCGGTCTCCAGTCTGTCCACCACCGCCACCAGCGCTCCACTTCCCTGCTGTCCTCAGCGGTCTCCAGTCTGTCCGCCACCGCCACCAGCACTCCACTCCCCTGCAACCGTTAGCGGTCTCCAGTCTGTCCGCCACCGCCACCAGCGCTCCACTCCCCTGCAACCGTCAGCGGTCTCCAGTCTGTCCACCACCGCCACCAGCGCTCCACTCCCCTGCAGCCGTCAGCGGTCTCCAGTCTGTCCACCACCGCCACCAGCGCTCCACTCCCCTGCAGCCGCCAGCGGTCTCCAGTCTGTCCACCACCGCCACCAGCGCTCCACTCCCCTGCAGCGCCGCAGCGGTCTCCAGTCTGTCCACCACCGCCACCAGAGCTCCCCTCTCCTGCGACCGTTAGCGGTCTCCAGTACGTCCACCACCAGTCTGTCCACCACCGGCACCAGCGCTCCACTCCCCTGCAACCGTTAGCGGTCTCCAATCTGTCCCCCACCGCCACCAGCGCTCCATTTCCCTGCAACCGTCAGCCGTCCCCAGCGTGCGCCGGTGTGGGGCGCCGTGGACGCCGCCGCTGACGCCGGTCCCGCGCCGCCGGCAGACCCGGCGCCGTTTCAGCTGGTGGAGCGCACCTCGCTGCTCAAGGTGCACTCGCTGTTCTCCATGCTGGGCCTGAACCACGCGTACGTGACGGCCATCGGCCGCCTGATCGGCGTGGTGGCGCTGAGAGAGGTGAGACTCGCCGGGGGCGGCGCGCCGACGCGGCCCGGGCAGGGAGCGCCACTGTCGAGCGGTCCGCCGAGCTGCGGTGGAGCCGTTAGAGCTTGGACTGTCTCTGCTGTTTGCGGAGTCCGGTTATGTCTCTTCTGTCTGCCCACTTTCCTTACCTGCCTTACTTCGTCTTGCCCTTTTCCCT